GGAGGGTGGGGCACCATGCAGTGCCATTTGCTCCGTGCTCCTGGTAGCTGCGGGGGTCTCCAAGCAGCAACATTCCCTTTATTTTACTGTAAAAAACCCAATCCCAGCAAACCCCATGGCTGCTAATCCCTGCTTGCCTGGGCAGCGTGTGCACCACCGTTTCAGAGCACCAGTCCTGCCCAAACTGGGGCCCTGCTCAGCACCTCCTCTGTGAGCTGAGCCCTTGGCAGCTCTGGCTCCAACCCCCAGCCCCCGGGGCTGAAGAGGGAGGTGGTGAAGGGGGCTGGGGAAGCTCCAGGGCTGGTTTGCTGCCCTCTGCAGTGTGCATGGAATACACACGCGTGTGTGTTCAGGTGCGTGTGCACGGGCAGGGGAGGGCGTGGGAGTGTATGTGTGACTGTGGGGGTGTGCAGGCGTGGATGGCATGGACCTGGGGGCCAAGACTCCCACCCCTTCCCTCCTGGAGGGGGGCCGGCAGCCCATCTCTGGTGCACCAGTGCCACCCCATGGGCAGTGTGGGGAGCACAGTGCCCCCCCCAGGGTCCTTTTGGGGTACCCTGTGCTGGGTCCAGCTGGGGTGCTCCGGCCCTGCACCCCCAGGGACTGGCATGGGAGCCGGGGCTGGGGGCTGCATGCAGGGGCTCTGGGTGGGGGGCATAGCCGTGGGGTCGGACTGTTAATCCACCCTGTCACTGTAGATCCAGGCACGGACCCACGCACGCGGGACCCTGCTCTGAGCCCAGCCCCCCGACTTCTCCCCTGCTCCCTCTCCCCCTGCAGACAGCACCCCCCTGAGCGAGCTCTCCTGGTCCTCCTCGCTGGCTGTGGTGGCCGTTTCCTTCTCCGGGCTCTTCACCTTCATCTTCCTCATGTTGGCTTGTCTGTGCTGCAAGAAGGGCGACGTCGGCTTCAAGGTGAGCGCTGCAGGGAGGCAGGGGCTGTGCTCGCCCGCAGCGCTGGGTGCCGGCATTGGAGGGTGCAGCCGCAGGGCCGTGCCCAGGGTGCCCCCAGCAGCAGGGCGCAAAGAGCTCGGCACCCAGCGGTGCTCAGCATTGCCTCCTGCCCAGGCCTGATGGCTCCCAGCCCCGCTCGGAGCGGGGATGCTGCACGGTTAATGCCTCCCTGCCTTGCTGCCCCGGGACGGGCGGTGCCGTGACCTCCCGGGCACAGAATGTGCCGGGGAAACAGTTCTCCCTAATTGCTGGGATTTTTGTGGAGGCCGCTGGCGGGGGCAGGTCGGGATCGTGACGACGCTGGCCAGGCCACCCAGCCGCGGCGCAGCAGGGCACCTCCCCGCACCCCACGCGGCCTATATAGGGGCTGCCTCCGACGCGGTGCGCCCCTGGGCCCGGCAGGTCCTGGATGCACGGGGCGGCATGAGGCAGGGGGTCGCCGTGCGGCAGGACCACCGAGATGCTCACCCTGTCCTACCTCATCGCGGGGGCTGCCTTCGGGGCCAGGGGCCGTGGGCAGGTAACTGGAGTGTGCCCAGGGTGGGGGGTGTTGCCGGGGTGACGCAGGCTCATGCCCAAATCCCTGCAGGCAGCGGGGCTCCAGGAAGGGTCCCTGCAGTGTGGATCTGCCTCCAGGGCCGGTCCAGGCTGCTCGAGATGCCTCCCCGGTCCGGGGGGGGCACAAAGGCAGGGTCTGGGAGCTGCCACAGGTTGATCCTGCATCCTTGCCCCCTGCTGGGACCCTGCCCCAGCTCACAAGCACCCCAGTGGCACCAGCTGCAGCCCCTGTGGTGGGTCCCAGGCTGGCCCCCAGAGCTTGGGGTCCTCACCCAGGGTGCCTGCCCCTGCCCTCCCAGCCTGCAGTGGAGGGTGCTGGGGGCACGCCGCATCCCTCGCCCCTTCCCTGCTGGGTGTGGGAGTGCAGGGGGGCCTAGGCAGAGCACTGGGTGTGCGGGACCTGGGCTGGGAGCAAGGGTGTTGATTCGGGGTGAGTGCGAGTGACTGTGTGTGCATCTGGGGGGTGGGCGGAGGTTGGGGAGCCTGGGCGGGGCACGTGTGGAGATGCATGGAGGTGAGCCCGTGAGCGTGTGAGGGAGAGGTGTAGCATGTGTGCAGGCACGCGTGGAGAGGCATGCGGCACCGAACACCTAAACGGTGGAAGAGGGGTTGTGAGGTGCCTGCAGGGGTGGGTATGTAGGGCTGGTGTGTGCATGTGGAGAGGTGCGTGTGTGTGTGTGAATGCAGGGAGGGGTGGGTGTGTGTGTGTAGGAGTGTGTGTGTATAGGGCG